GGCTTCATTAGAAGGGGGTTTACACGGGATATCACTATCCCAATTTTTGCTTGTGTGCCTTTTGGGGCCCTATTAGGTCGTCTTTGGATTTGGGACGTCGGCCTCGGGTTATGAGACCTTCGAGATGCATGGTGAAGACCGCAGCAACGAAGGATCTACCTGTTTAGGGTTCCTTAGTCTGACTTCCTTGTGCGAGGGGTTTAGGGTATAGGGGTTTAGGGCTACACCCTAAACCGTTTAGAGGGTCGGGGAATCTAGTAAGTAGGCAATCCCAAAAAGGTTACTTGGAGGGTCGGGGCACTTGGTAGGTAGGGAAGAAGTGACTTTTAAGTACCCTGAAAAGGATCCGAATTAGGGATGATGCTCATAGCTCTTTAAAAGAACTACTTATTAAGTCCCCCGACCCTCCAAGTGGAACTTGGATGGCTTGCATTTGGCGCCTGCTGTGTTTATTCGCACAGGTTGCCTAAATTGAAGTCAGTACATTTGCGCAAAGGCTGTGTCTTGGGGACTGTAATAACGGAAAACAAGAATGTTTCCGCGCACTCCTAAGTTGCAGGTAGGTGGCCCTTCGCAGGTTCGGGGCTTGGGTCTAGAGCTTGGGCGGGACCTTGGGACATTGAGAGCATAGTCGAAGGCATCTCGCAGATAGTCATAAAACATCAAAAGCTAGGACAGCTAAGGTGTATGAGCATGAACAAGCAAACCAAGAAACAGAGACATATGTTTGATCAAACATCGATCTGCGAATGTTTCAACACGCCAATGTTTCAACACACCACATTGAGGCTGCCATGGCCACCTCGCCACAGGTTAGGGTGGCCTCATATCCTGAACCCCACCCCAAAACCTAAACTGGCGGCAGGCTGGTGCACTTGCTTCCATTCAGGCGAAGCTTACGGAGGTCCATGCTGGCACTTGTATCGCTATTTTCAAGCTCAGCTGTAGCTCCGTCACAGGACTTCCGCAAAGCCCAGCATCGCACAAGAAATGTGCAGCACAACGCGCACAGAAGTGGAGGTGCACTGCAGCCCCACCACAGGTTGAGGTCTCGAAGTCACAGTCTCAGTTGAAAGCGATTCCATTTACGGTGGCTTCATGGCTAAATCCAAAAAGGCGTTCTCCAGAATCCACTCGCCAAACTGCTGCTGTACCGTCCTCAGACGCAGTTGCGACTACGGCTGCCGAAGGATCGAAAGAAGCATCCAGGACACCCCTGGAGTGCTTGAAGCTATGTAGTTGCGCACCTGTCGCGACATCCCAGATGCCGGCAGAGCCATCGGCGGAAGCCGTCACAACTCGAGTGCCGCTGGGATCGAAGCTCACTTTGTAGACGCGGTCCTTGTGTCGAAGAGCGGCAAGCTCCTTGCCACTGGCGAGGTCCCACACTTTCGCTGCATGCTCGTCACCGCCTGTGACTATGTGAGTGCCAGGTGCATTGAAGGCAGCGCTGAAGACTAAGTTGCTGTGCTTTGCAGTGAAAACCTGGGCGTTTAAGTTTAAGCAACCAGCGAAAAAGCATAAACTTTGATTTCATAATGGTTCCTTTAGGACAAAAAATACTAAAGTATGATATCCAAAGCCCAGAAACCTTTGCGCCACTGACAACGTCCCAGACGATTGCGCTTTTGTCGAAGGAGGCTGTGACAACTCTGCTACCAGCTGCATCGAAGGTAGCATTCATGCACCTGTCACGGTGTTTGAGCTTGACCAGCCTGGCTCCCGTTGATACATCCCAAACACCAGCTGAACTATCCCGCGAAGCAGTTACGAACCGGCTGCTCGAAACTTCGAAAGAGGCATTGTAAACTGCGTGGTCATGCCGAGCAGAAATCACCTTCGAACCATTCGTGGCATCCCATACTGATGCGGTTTTGTCGTCTGAAGCTGTAACAAAAAGAGCACCCGATGTGTCGAATGCCGCGGAGTATACAGAATTACCGTGTGCAACAGCAGCCAGCTCCTGCCCAGAAGACGCATCCCAAACCTTCGCAGATCGATCCTGTGACGTCGTCACGACCGACATTCCCGCTGGATCGAATGCAGCACTGTTCACTTCAAGATCATGGTCTAAGGTCGCGACCACCTCCCCTGTAGAAACGTCCCAAATGCAAGCCCTTCGGTCATTGGATGCTGTGACGACGCAGGTCGATCTCTCCATGCAGCCCAAGAGGATCCCAATACCACCGGAAAGTATGCCTTGAGGGCTTGATCTGATGGAGGGGCCTGACTGATTAGAATAGGGTTCGGGGGTATATTATTATTATTCTTACTATTATTACTATTATTGTTATTGTTATTATTATTATTCCATAATCATAGCAAGGAACCGCCAAAACCCTGTTCTGATCTTTAAGATCCTTGCATTAATTCGTTTCGGGATCAGAATTTAGGGCTGGAGTCTCGATGGCTTGATGCGGGCTTGTCGAGCTTGCTAAGTAAGGAATATTCAGAGAACCCAATACCCCTCAATTAAGGAATATACCTTAACTCATGTAATATTAAGCCCCCTATATTTTCAGGTATACTCCTTAATTAAGGGGTATTGGCATCTTTGGGAATACCCATGGAGCATGGCGGGTCCTTTGGAAGAGTGGCTTTAGGATTGAGGCCTTGAGGGCTTCCGGGGACTTCGTAACTAATTAGTTAGTTTATACAGAGTTACAGTTTTTTGTTTTTTTTCACCCTCCTGTCTTGTAACCAAGGCATCCAGACCAGAGTTACAGTTTAGGGTTTAGGGAGTTATCTGTATCATAGTCCCAATTAGGATCCCTTCTAGGGTCCTTTTCACTCAATTCCTTGCCTACTTACTAAGTCCCCCGACCCTCTACGTGGGGCTTCAGGGGCTCGGAGCAGAGGGCTAAACGCGCTCCCAGAGCCCCGGGAGGATCTACAAAGTAGATCCTCTATTTTGGGGCCCTACACTACAAAGGGTACTTGATGGGAATCCCCATTAAGGGATCTACTTTTTGGATCCTTTCGGGGGTCTGGGCTTAGGCCAGTTTAGGCGCTTCTGGCACTAAGCACGGATCTGAGGAGCAAAAGAACCCAGGGGCTTTCGAGGTTTAGGGATTTCCGAGATTAGGGTTTAGGGGTTTAGGAGTCTTGGGTTGATGGGTTTAAGAGTTTTAGGGTTTAGGGGTTCAGGAGTCTTGGGTTGAAGGGTGTAGGGATTTAGGAGTTTGGGGGTTTAGGGAGCCATGCACCTAAGAGTACTAACTCTCTTGAGCCTTCAAGCGTTGTGCCTGACAAGCCCGAACCTGAACAATTTCAGAGCTTTGCAGCCTTGGTACGATATGGCACATAACGCTACAACTTGAATAACCCCGAGCCCTACCTCCAAAACCGCAAACCCCCGAGTCCTAAACCCGAAACCCTCGCACTCTTCAGCCCTGAATCAGGAAGTACACCCGGTTCCTAACAATAGTTTAAAAAGAACACGATTGACCCCACGTTTTTTGTTTTTTACTTTTATAACTATGAAGCCCACAAGCTTCCAAGTGCCCGCTTGCCCGAGAGCCGATGACAAGCACGGGTCCCATGCTCTTACGGTTGATGATACTTGGAGGGTCGGGGGACTTAGTAACTGGTTATTTTAAGGACTTATAAGTACCATAACCCCAATTAGGGTCCCTTTTAGGGTACTTATAAGTCTACTTACTACCTACTTACTAAGTCCCCCGACCCTCCAAGTATAAATCCTGCATTACCCGTGGTAAGAACTCTACCATACTTCCCATTAGTCTAGGGTCAATTAAAGTAATGCAGGATATACATCATCAACCGCTTTTTTGAGTTTGCCCAGGGAGCCCGAGAGTAAGAGCGAAAAACGGACACTACTGGGACACTAGGGATACAGCTAATACAAATAGAATACGGTTTGGGAGCAGACTCTAGTACAGCTAAGCAGGGACAAAAAAAGCATACCATTGCCAATTCGTTCGACCCCCGTACGAAAACCCTTACAAGACCTGTTCCTTCCCATGTTAAACCATTCGACCGCATGCTTGGGCTTATGCAAGCCAAAAACTACCTTACAACTAGCCTAAACCCTAATCCCCAAGCTCAATACCTAAACCCTAAATCTGAAAACTCCATAAACCTTACACCCTTACTAGAACCCCTATAGTACCCCTTAAATTAAAGGAGCCCCTCAAGATCGCTCAAAGGAGACCCGAAGCTTCAACTGCTGAGTAGGCCACGCCAGACTCACCCAGGCACCTGCGGCACGTTTTGGCGCATGCCGCCAGAGAGCCCCGAGCACCATTCGCACATAGACATGCGTATGTAAGATGTACTTCTTCATACATTCACTTGTGTCTGCATACATATATACTCATATAGTCTCACTTTTTCTCTCTCGCTCTCTCCCTCTCTCTCTCTCTCGCTCTCTCTCGGTTATAGGGTTTAACGGTATAAACTATACTACTGTACATATGCACATATATGCATTTATAAAACACAAGCTATGCACATACAAAAACAGATCTAGACTAGACACTAGTGTCCATGGCCATGAAGCGAATCCAAAACAAACTATTCCTTTGATGCTGGGCCAGGCCAATGTCTTCCCTAGAAGTGAAGGTATACCTAGTGAGCGACCTAGGTCCGTCAGTATCCCTCCAATACGAGCGGCGCAATTTGTTGTTTCTCATTTACGTTGTATGGGGAGGCCATCAAGTAGCAACAGATAGCATGCTCCCACTGGGGGACTCAGCTGCTGCAGGTAGAGGGTGTCTCAGAACAGAGGTACGATGTCCGAGGCCGAGGTTAGTTCGGTCTTTTGCAGAGGCCCTTTCCAGTGCTAGATCTGGCACTAGAGACAGCATGACCCAGAGACTCCAATACCCCTTAATTAAGGAATATTCCTTAAATCATATTAAGGATCCTACTATAATTTAAGGTATATTCCTTAATTAAGGGGTATTGGAGTCTCTGGGGACTGCAGAGTATGAGCAGACAGCGTTTTCTGTACAGTCGGCTGCTGAGTTGTGGTGCTGTCAAACAGCCATAAACCGGGATCGAGAGCCACACCGGTCTTCGAACGTGAGCAGTTTCTGTGAAGCGTCACCGCCGGGAGTGTTTCGAGATACCTCTTCGGCAATCTCGGCGATCTTACCTGTGCAACGAGGGGTCCCTTTTGGGTTTTAAGGTTTGAAGCATCCTAAGCCCTAAACCCTTCAGGATACCCTGATCCCTAAACCCAAAACCCTTTTTCTGTAGCCTAAACCCTAAACCCTGCAGTTAGGCGCTAAATCCCGCCTGTGCAATGAGGATGCTGCCGTTGCTCTGATTCCCAAAGATGCACACACTCGCGGGTTGAGTGGCATGTCCTGGGTTCGGGTTTTGGGGTTTGGGGTTTGTGTACGGATTAGGCATTACCTGAGCCTTAGGGTTCTCTTTGAAGAAACCCACTGTACTCCAAGAGGCCATGATAAGGACAACATGTGATCGGCTATATCCCTAGTCTGATACTTTCCACTCCTCCAGAATGCCACAAATCCCGATACTTACACTGGCCCAAAACCTCTCATTACGGCAGCACAAATTAACGTCGTGAGTGGGAGCCCAGTTTCGGGGGTCTGGAGCCATCGGACCTCACGCCAGCATCCACAAGCGTGAAGTCGTTGTAGCAGGACGGACTGTCGAGATGCAACCTCGCGCGCTGCTCCTGGCAGTAGAAGTCCTGTCCCGGTTCTTTCCTGGGCTCTAGGTATAGGGTTCTCGGTTTAAGGCTTTAGGGTTACCATGATCGGAGTTGATAGGCTTGCAAGGTCTCGTAAGGGTTCTCATTACGTGCCTTGCAGGAACGGATTTCAAGTTTTCTTGACAAGGGCCTTTGTGCAAGCCATATGCTCCGTTGATTGTGGTAAACTAAACTGAGTTCATCCCTGAACCCTAAACCCCCTTCCCTAAGAAGAGCCCAGTTTCAGGCAGTAGGTTTCAGCCACCATGGACATCTGCCCCTGCAGGTAGGGGAGGAGCATCTCCGCGCACTCCTTGGTTCTGGAACCCTCTGAGTTTTCACCGCACTTCCCATAAGAAGCGTCGGAAGTTTGCAATGATGGTTACTACCGTTGAACTTTTACTTTACCTCAGTAACATTGTTCGTATTCTTCTTCTTGTTATTACGACTATGGTGATGATGATGCTGGTGATGGTTGTTGTTATGATCATTAATGTTATGGTTGGTATCATGTTTGCTATTTCTTGTTGTTGCCATTCTGTATAACTCGTCGTTGGTGTCATTTCTATGGTTTTACCTTCGTCATGCCATGAAACCTTCCGATGTCAGGAGCCGCATGTTTCATGTCCCTGGTCTACTTACCTTTGGTTAGTAGAGAATGGAAGAATGGTAGTAATAGTACCCCATTACTCCATTCCCTACTAACCAAAGGTAAGTCTATCTATCATTCCTGCTGTCAAAGCTCTGAGCTCGATGACGCGAGCCTCTTGGGGCGTAATATATATATATATATATATATATATATATATATATATATAGGGGCCTTTATAATTAGAATGGGGTTTGGGGGCCCACGATACTATCATTGTTATGAGGAACCCCACAAAATAATAGTATTGGTAATTATTCAAGACCCTACAGTGGGGTTGAAGTTTAGGCATTGGCGTTTAGAGTTAGACAGTTAGACACGGTCAGTACCAGGGAGAGCTTCTTGCACTCCGGTCTTTGTTGGCTGCCCTTGCTAGAAAAGTGATGTACTGGTCCAAAGGCCCCAGAAGTGAACCTGAACTAGCGAAATACTGCTGATGGACAACACCATGTTGCGATGTACCCTGGACTGTTGACGGGAACTGTGGTATAACCATTCCTCATTGGGGATATTGCAAGGATGCTGTCCATCATCAGCACCCCAAACCCGGAACCCGCAACACCCTCAAACCCCAAACCACAAGCCATCCCGAATCCTTACTCTTATTGGAGCATAAGGGCATAAGGGGTTAAACAAGTTCAGTTCTAGGTAGGATACCCCTAGTCAGGCTGCTTTAATGCAGACGCCTGACTAATCAAGCGCGTCTTCTTCATAAATTTGACGATGGGGGTTGTAATATAATACAGGGGCCTTAACAAGCTAAATATGGCTTTGCGGTGTATTCTGGTTGAAATATCATGAGGAACCGAAAGGAATAGCATAAGTAACGGTTTAGGATCCGAATATAAACCGCAAATCCAAGGGTAAAAGGAGGGACCCTTAATTAGGACCCCTAAGTATATACCCTAAATATAGCTATTTTATACCCATTATATAGCCCATTATACGGTAGGGGTCGCCATTAAGGGTCCCTCCTTTTCCCCTTTGCAGGAGGTTTACTAATCAGAGGTCAGCATCAAAAATGACTCGCCGGGCCCATGCCCAAGACCCATAAGGGGTTCCTTCGAGGGATCTATAGGGGTACTATAAAGGCCCCCTTCAAGGGATCTATAGGGGTACTATAAGGGCTAATCAGGGGACTTAGTTATCTACTTATCACCTTTATTAAGGTACTTATCTGGGCTTTGAGGTAACCAGGGAGAAAAGAAGTATAGACTTTCATTTCATTTTGGTTCCTTAAAGGAACAGGTACCCAAAAAAGTATTCAAGAATGGTATATACTCCAGAACCCAGTTATAACCCTACTTACTAAGTCCCATGCTCCTCTAAGCAAGTAATGGGCCTGAATAGTTTGAAGAGGTTGAAGGTAGATTAGACCAAAAAATAAGGCCTCTATATGGAGCTACTGCTATGAACCACTGAGATCCCCCTCTTTCAAGTACTATAAAAGCCCGATAATTACTAATACTATCTTGGCGTTTCCATCTCATAACTATGGTGTCATAAAGCCAAAAACCCTATTCTAACTGTAAAGGCCCCTACATTACCTCTGTGCTTCCGGGGCTCGTCAGCACCAACGGGCAGGAAGCCGGCGCTGGCAGCAGTGCAGAGGGAGTGTGCGTAGCAGGTTGCATAGGACGTAAAGAAGTGCGCATAGTCGAATCCTTCACCTGACTTCACTGGCCAGAGTCTTTGAAGGTCCAGGGTCTATGGAGAATAACTCAAGAAAAAATCCTGAAAATCTTCAAGGCCCCGTCTGCCTAAAGCCTAACTAATTAAGCTTCTACACTGAACGGCAAATCCTCAACACCTAGTAAGCCGACCCTTTCGATACCCCAGGCACATTGGGGCCCACATGCCTCCTGCATGCTTGCCCGGGTGGTTCCCGCGACAGCTTCCAGCGCCTGAAGGGTTCCATGTACTATAGAAGCCTGAATAAGCACCGACATTATTGATTAGGGTTCCTTGTTGTGATTATACTACAACTTACACCGAAACACTGTTCTAATCATAAGGTGCGGATTAGGGTAGTTGGAAACGTTTAAGGTTAGGATTCGAGATTTAAGAAATTCAAAGGCTTCGGGGATAGGGTCGCTTTACGAAGGTCTTCTCTTGGTGCCACTACCAGAGCCCTCTGCATCCGAAAAGGACTCGAAAATCCTCTGAACCCCCTAACGGGGCTTCTTCAGGGACCCTGAACCCTAAACCCTGAGTAACCCCAAACGCTTCAAGGAACCATTCATCGGATCGGATCAAGAGCTTCCGGGATTCCCGTAGGATACGGCTTGTGGTTTAGAGGGTTTAAGGTTTAGGGGTTTAGGGCCCCTAGGAGCCCGAAATTCCTGATGAGCCTTGCTTACACTTCTGACCTCCTAAACCTCACAGACCCCTTGTTGTCATATCCTTAAAGGAACCCTTGCCGGAGCTCCCATACCCTAGCATCCCCAACCACCAAAACCCCACAACCCACACAACCCTTGAAGGAGCCCTAAGAACTTTTTGACTTCGAGTATAGCCATGCTTAGCTCCTTGGAAACCCCTTTCCAGGAACACTAAGTTACCTCTTTGGAGTCACAAAACCCCTAAAACCCATTTCTACTTCATTAATGAAAACAGGTAGGCTATTTGGGATCCCTATTAGGATTTCCTGATATAAGTCCTTAAAGAAGGTAGTCTTGGAGGGTCCAAGGCGAGCCTTCTGCTTCATGGCCTGGCCGGGGCCGGACTGCGCCAACTTCTCGAGCCAGGCATACCTGGGCCCCAAAAGAACCTGCCTTTTTAGGGACTTGTTCAACGCCAAACATATAAGGCACCTGGACCCCAAAGAACCTGCCTGTTTAGGGACTTATTCAAGGTAATCATCATTATAAGGAATCGTAAACCTGCCTTTGTGGGGACTTATTCAAGGCAATCATATAAGGAATCGTAATAGGAAGCCATTATAGGAACTCATAAAAGGCATAACTGGACCCCAAAGAACCTGCCTGTTTGGGGACTTATTCAGGGCAATCATATAAGGAATCGTAGACCGGCCTTTTTATGGACTTCTTGCAGGCAATCACAATTACAAGGAATCGTAATAGGAAATCATGATAGGAACTCATAAAAAGCGTCGGACCCCAATAACCTGCCTTTTTCATGGACTTCTTGCAGGCAATCACAATTACAAGGAATCGTAATAGGAAATCATGATAGGAACTCATAAAAAGCGTCGGACCCCAATAACCTGCCTTTTTCATGGACTTCTTGCAGGCAATCACAATTACAAGGAATCGTAATAGGAAATCATGATAGGAACTCATAAAAAGCGTCGGACCCCAATAACCTGCCTTTTTTTATGGACTTCTTGCAGGCAATCACAATTACAAGGAATCGTAATAGGAAATCATGATAGGAACTCATAAAAAGGATCCCTAAAAAGGTGTTATTGTGGGGTGGACTTGTTCAAGTCAAACAGGATGTAAGGAACCGTAATAGGAAATCATGATAGGAAACCATAAAAAAGGATCCCTAAAAAGAAAGGTGTTATAGGGTCATATAAGGAATCATATAAGGAATCGTAATAGAAAACCTAATCCTAATCATCATAGCAACTCATGAAAAAGGATCCCCTAAAAAGAAAGGAGTTATAGGGCCCGGGTACTTCGTGAAGCCCGGACTGGCGAGTTGATCCTTAGCTTCGGGTTGGTTAGGGTTTAGGGTTTAGGGTTTAGAGTCTTGGGTTTAGGGTTCCTATAAAGATTCCTTCAAGGGCTGAGGCGAGTTGATCTTAGGTTTTAGGGTTAAGATTCTTATAAGGGTCTTTAAGGGTTCCTTCAAGGGCTTAGGCGAGCTGATCCTAAGCTTCATGTCTTGGGGCTTTAGGGCAGTTCCGAACCGTTTTCCTATACGGATTAAAGACTTAGGCGAGTTGATGCTGAGCTTTGGGCTTTTGGGCTTTGGGGCTTCAGGCCCAGTCGTGTTCCTATAAAGGTTCTACAAGGGCTCTTTGTGGATCCTAAGCTCGGTGCCTCAGGGCTGTAGGGCCTTGGGGGTTTAGGGATCAGGGTTCCCAGCAGTATTCCTATACGGGTCCTGAGAAGGTTCCTTCAAAGGTTTACGCGAGCTGATCCCGCGTTCAAGCTATTAGGGTTTAGGGTTTGGTCCCAGTACTAAGTTCCCCAAACTCCTTTAAATCCTAAACCCTAGGTTCTCAGTATCCCCTCAAATATCACAAGGAATCAAAAGAAAGCAAAATGCTGCCACTGGGAGACCTAGGATCCAAGACATACCTGGGCGGGTCTCTGAGGAAAGCTGAAACCGTAGGATTTCCAAAAGAACCTAAAGAAGAGCTAAATCCCAAACCCTGAACCCTCAACTGTAAATCCTGCGCCCTATGCCCTGAAACCCTAAACCCGGCGGATTTGCCGGGGCCGCCGTGCCTACACCAACTACAAACCTCTGCTTGGGAAGTTGTCAAAATTATGGTCACCTAATATTGAGGGTACCCAAAAAGGGACCATCATCTTGACAACTACCCACTTCTAAGGCAACATATCCTGATAGGTTTTTCAAGCCGTCCGTTTCGTCAGGGGCCCTAATATAGGATCGGGATCACAAGTGGTCGTTATAAAGGGCAAGGACTAGCAAGTCAGGGTCAAACATTGGTCTTGGCACACTGCTTGTAGAACTGATTTGGGAGTTTCCGGAAATAGGGGTACCTTATTTTAAGGTCCTCATAATAAGGATCCTGCTATTTAGGGTACAATATTAGGGTCCCCTATTTTCGGAAACTCCCATTCAACAGAAGGCCCATGCACCAAGACGAGTAATAGCAGCCAGGTGCTCAAACTGGCTGGTGACTTGGCACTTTTCTTCCAAGCTCACCATCAGCTGGATGACCTGGGTTCTTGCTGGGAAACCGTATTTAAGTTACTAGAACAAGGAAAGCCTACTCTACACTCCTTTTGTGGTAACTCAAACCGAACGCATCACAACCATGAATAACCATTCCGAAACCAAGCAATTCCTTGAAAGCCCCCCCGTCTTACGGTAACTTAATCTATCTGAAACGCTTTCAACAAGAACCCAGTCACCGAAGTGCAGGCCTCTCCTGCCTTTGCTGCTTCCTTCCAGCCGGCGCTGTCAAGGACATTTCCAGAGGCAAGGAAAAGCATGCTTGCCACTTGTAGAGCAGCTACAGATCGAATACCATGCTGCATGGAGGCCAGAACGAAATGCCCAGCTGCTGCGGCAACGTGGCACCCCAGCAACGCCCCTTGAGCCAGCAGAGCAGTGTGAGCTGAGGTCTATGAAGTAATCTCAGCAAAGAGTTTGAATCTGATTGATTCCCAAACCACTGCGGCACCCCAAGCCACTTTCCCACACATGCGAGTATCGTAAAACGATGTGAAGCCAACCGCTCAAACTCCACTGCCCGCTCCCACGCCCAAAACGGGAAAACCTCTCACTTCTAGCAAAAACCCTTGTAACTTCTGCATCACCAAACTGGTGACCTTCAGGCCTCAAGCACATGGCCTACTTCGCGCCTCTCTAAACCATCCTGCCCCTCAGCCTCTAAGCCCTAAACCTTGAGAGCCTTATTCCTGAAAGCCCCAAACCCTGAACCTTAAAGCGCTTAAGCCCTAAACGCAGAGAGCCGGGGTAGGGGGGATGGGAGGTAGGGAAGGAAGTATAGTCCCCTACCCCCGGGGCCCGGGCCCCATGACTAAACCCGTCACTCTGAACCATGCCTTGTGGCCGCGTGGACATCCTGGCTGAATCGGAGCGTGGCAGTGTTTGTGGTTCGGATTCTGTAGGGATTGGGATTTAGGGTTTAGGGTTTAGGGGTTTGGATTCTGATGCTTCGTCTTTTGGGGTTTAGGTTTTGGGCTTAGGGTTCAGAGCCCTGGATATAGGGTTTACAGCTTCTTTGTTTTACCTGCAGTTGGGGTGGAGGCCAGGTGTATTCATAAGAGAAGTTTAAGTCTTATGAGGACCAAGTATGACCTGTGTCGACCGACCGAGAGCACAGGATTGAGTGCCTGCAGGCCATGCAATGTGTACCCTCGATGAATAATCCGCAACCCTCAGTACAGATTGAAACAATAAGGCTTCTGCAGCAGAAAAACGGAAGAGTGAATGATGTGAGTCAAGGGCCTAAATTGCAAAGCTGTGCTTCCTTTCCCCGAAGCCTAACTCCCACAGTCTCAAACCTTATAAACCCTTCTGAAGCTGGCCTCTGCAGCACTAAACACTTAGCCCTTCAGCTACTGCGTGTATTATGTATGTTTTTTGTTTATATAACATATCTATGATACGTATGTACATATATCTGAAAATATGCATATATGTGTATTTATGTATAACAAGCCGTGGTACTAGTACCCAATTTGTCAACGGCTCCTGCTTTGCTACCAAGAAGCCACGCAAACCCTCAGCGCCAAAGAAAACCCTTATGGAGCCCTTATAATTTCAAGGAGCTACTCTAGTTACACCAAGCCCTCAATGCATCCTTATAGAACCCTTAGAGTATGCCTTTAAAGGAGCTGGTCTTATTACTTTAAGGTCCGCTCATATCACGTTTGTCTCGAGAGGCCTGAAGAGCTCCAGGGTCTGCTGAGTCAGCGGCCCACCTGATCATTAAGGTCTCTGTTTCCAGTAAGGTGTTAAAAAGTTCTATAAGGGTTGTGCAATGTCTTGTAGAGGTTTTACAGTCCCACGGGCTCCAATACCTCCTAGTTGAAGGTCGGGGGCTTTGAGGGCGATGCAATGCCAGGGTTTGTTTAAGTTTTAGGGTCTTTAGGGTGTTAAAAAATAAGAATGCTTTGGGTTAGGGGAGTACCGGTTTCGAAAGACTCAAAAACCCCTCGATTAAGGACCATGCCTTAGATCACAATGAGATTCCCCATGTAATTCCATGTATTCCTTGGTTGGAAGGGTCTTGGGGTCTCTGGGAGCAGATGACTCATCAGGTTTTATGTGGCTTCGCAGGGGCCTTAACCAGGAATACGGCTTGAGAGAGTTTTCAATGGCTTTCCTTGGGCGTTATGTGGGCCTTCCTGGGGGCAACCAAATATGAGTGTATTGTGGCGGCGATAAGTGGTACCATGGCGCTATTGCTGTAATTTTCTCCGAGCTCTCTATATCTGCATGGCTAGATAACAACTGTCTCGGTATACCCACAATTTAACTTAATCAAGTTGCCTTAATGCTCTTCAGTTGAGAGTTTAGGTTTCCTAACATACCAAGAGCATGGAGCTACTAGCGAAGAAACCTTGCTGCCCCACGAAGCTGAACTTCAGCGTTTGGACCTCCAAAAGATTGAAAGCTAGACCCAAGAGTAACCTAGGAATAAAAAGGACGCCCTTTTTGGTTTAAAGGGGTTTATAAGGGAACCTGAACCCTAAAAAAAGGGAATAAGGGCCTACTCTGGGTCCTAGAAAGTATCCACTACCCAGGCCCTCCATGTCGAGAGCTTGGCTTCGGGGGATCAGCGCGAAATGGGAGTTTCCGAAGATTAGGGGCACCTTATTTTGGGGTCCTTGTGATAAGGATCCTACCATTTAGGGCACTATATTAGGGTCCCCCCTATTTTCGGAAACTCCCAAAATAGGACCTCTACTTGGAGGATCATGGGACTTAGTAAGTAGGGTTACAAGTTCCTTCAGCCAAGGTTATGAGTCGATAAAACTTATAACTATAGGTATCTTCTCCTGGTCTCCACCGACCATCCCGTGGCCTTACCCCATAAGCCCTCTACCCTTGAATTTACCTTTGGTTCGTAGGGAATGGAAGAATGGTAGTAATAGTAGTCATACTTGTACCCCATTCTTCCATTCCCTACTAACCTAAGGTAAGTTAAGTAAGCACTAAGAAGCCAACGCATTTTACTTTCGGCAGGTTACTCTGGGGTTTCACAAGCAGGAGTCCCCAAATCCAGGTACTGTGGCTTGAAGGGCCTAAACCCCTAGTGTACAGGACATTCAAAAAGAGAGGAAGGTTACCGACTCTCTTACCAAGCTAATACGGCGTTTGACGCGGGGTGTTGGCCTTTCTGGGCATTCCTCTCACGCACCAAAGAAACCCCGGAGCCGCGCCTAATGAGTTCTGCTTAGCCAAAGCTGCATCGTGAAGAGGCCTGCAGGCGCGGCTCTACTCTGCTCTCTCTCTGCCTTCCCCTCCCCCTCTCCTTCTCCCTCTCCGTGCTCTCCCTCTCTCTCTCTCTCTCTCTCTTTCTGCCTCTCTCTCTCTCTCTCGCCCTCCCTCCCTCCCTCTCCTCCGACATGTCAACAAAACCTAAGCTGCCTAAATGTTAAACTCCAAAACTGCTGGAAAAAGAAACCCGCCTCCCGGCTGATCCCGTTGGCTGCGAGAGCAAGCTTTGCAGCCGTAGTGTTGCGACATACCTGGATAGCCGAAAGCACCTAAACCCCAAAACCCTAAACCCCTAAACCCTGAGCCCGCATCTGGGCCACGGCCTCGCCAAACTCGTGAGCCCGAAAGAAACATTGCGACCAAAACGGAAAGCAACGATGGTCCGGGGACCATCGTTGCTTTCCGTTTTGTGTTCAGTGGCTTAGGCTTTAGGGTTTAGGGTTCAGGGGGGCTTAGGGCTCAGGGTTTAGGGGCTCTTGCGTGGGGGGAGGAGGGGTTTGGGTCGTAGAGGTTCAAATTTCGGGATTCCTTGCGTGATTTAAAGTCCTTCTCAGAACGAAGCTCGGACTTTTTGGAATCTACGGCTCGCATGATTTTTCGCATCCCTCCCAATCTGAAACTTCAACAAAGACCGTAACATTGCCGGAGGCCAAACAAGGACACCTCACTATTTATCATTGTACGTAGAACGCCTTCCGGACGGAACCCCTCTGCAATCCTATGGTGAAACCCTAAACCCTAAAAGCCCCTAGGCCCTGAAACCTGTTGAAACCCTTAAACCCTTATGAAACACTAGACCTCTAAACCCTAAACCCTAAGAACCCTAAACCTCTAAACCCTTAAACCTCCCTAAACCTCTGAACCCTAACAACCCCTAAACCCTATAGCTCACTCATGCTGTGAAGCGGACGCACGGCAGATGCAGTGCGGCCCGCAAGCGTTCTCGTCCAAAGCTAAAGAAGAGACTAAAGAGGTCGCGCAAGCGAGGAACGTGTTCCCGCCCTACCCTGTACAAAGCGACCGAGGCCCCAGAACAAGACCGTCCAAAGGAAAAACAACCCCTAAATCCGAAAGATCAAGACCTTGAACAAACATACGTTCAAGTCCCAGGCAACGCAGAGCAGGGCGCAAGGCCCGTCGTATCAAAACTAATCGAGCAGCAACCGTGTGTGCCACCGGAGGAAAGATCAGCGTAGATGATTCCACCCACTTACCAGCCGTATTGCAAGTTGGATAAGGGTATTGATCGCAGCAATGCAGTACGAAAACCAGTTCGAGCCAGGACAGTCTGTAAGCATGTTCCGCAGCTGAGTCCAGTCCGAAAATGAAGTCGCACAAGTTGCTGGCGAAAGACGCCGGAAAGGCCTTGGCTGAGCTCGCCACTGCAGTGGCCCAATTGAGCGGCAGAGCCTCCTCCAGATCCAAGGCCCTGGGCACAGAGCCGCTGGGCGGAATCACCGGATCAGAATCATCGCCTTCAACCAGGTCTTGGCCAAGCCGACCTCGAGCAGTTTGCGCCGCAATCCCAAAGAATATTTCGCGCAGGGCAATCAAGGCCTTGAGCGTCTCATTGTGGTAGCGGAGCGCCTTGGCGTGGACTTCCAGGAAGATTTGCGGGCGATTGCTGTTGGCAATGCTCGCAAGCACATCAACGTGGTTGTTATGCATGGCAAGCCAATCCTCGGCCGGGCTTTCCGTCAGGTTGGAGTCCAGATGTGAGGGGGTATGCCTCACCAAGAAACGGCCACGATCCAGCTGGTTAAGGAAGCCAGCTAATGAAAGCCACAGATCTGCATCCGCATCGCCCGGCAGGTAGCCGGTTTCCTGTATCTTAGCCACACCATCACTGACATTGGCAGCATCAGTCCAGACCAGGCAAGGAAGGCCAGTGACCAAAGCCCATCGTGCCGCCGCCGTCATGGCAAGAATTTCCGCACGCGGGGCGGTTTGCAGTAGCCCAGGAACAATGCCGCAAGCCACAGCCGACCCTGTACTAGCCAAGATAACACCCCAGCCCGCCAAGGCCAGATCAGCATGGCCAAACTCCAAACAGGAGCCGTCCGTAAACAGACACTGCCAACCGGAGCCGACGCCTCCGCAGAAAAAGGAACCCGTGGTGTCAATCCCAGCCTGAAGAAGACTCCGAAGCTCGGGCAGGAAAGGGTTGGCCGAAGGCAGAAGATGATGTGTCAAGGACGTTGGCAGCTCATCCCAATGGTCCAGCACCCAACAATGCTCCGAACGGGCCTCCTGAAAAAGGGGGCACTGCCTGACCCGGTGCTCCACCGAATCCACGACACCACGGTGGGAACAAAGGCCTGTCTGAGAGAGATCAAAGCGAGCCTGCTGCTGGCCACACCAGAAGGCACCGGACTGCACGGCCGCAAGTCGGGCCCCATCCAAAGGCGTAAGACCCGCCTGGCAGGAGCGAAGTAGAGCGAGGTCAATGCCCCGCAAATCCGACATGGTTTCCCTATGGGTGTGTTGATGCGCCACAAACCAAAGCCAGGACTGTTCCAATGACCGGCGGAGCAATGCAGTGGGCATCTGCAGAATGTTGTGGAGCAAACCGTCCTGATCCATCACCAATGGCGGCTCCTGTACCGCCCAGCCAACCTGTGCAAGTACGCTGACCAGTTTTGACAAGGGACCCTGGAGGGCTCGTCCGTCACGCAGGCCGTGATATTGCCGCCAAAGCGGTAGGAAGTTGGAGACTTTCACCGCCATACGGCGAAGGTCCAGCACACATTGCCACAGTTGATAAAAACCTGGGTCTGAGGTAAGAGGCCGGGCAATGCTCAGGCGAAGCAAAGAGCTGCACCTACCAGGACGAATACATAAGGCGGCTGTGGCAGCACTGCGCAAACTTTGGAGCTCGGCCTGTGCCAATGGCACACCTGAGATGCCATGCAATGCTCTGGCCCAGCACTTGTTGGGCAAAGCCAACGATTTGAGTGCACAAGGAGCACGGGAACGGCGGAGCTTTTTCCAAAGAGGCGCCAAGGAACGAGACCGGTCACGGAGCGGGGCATTACGCACCGAAGCACCAAAGGACATCACGCCGCCAAGCTCCCTTGCAGCTGGCTGAACATTGAGGCCGGTGGCGGCCAGAGTTGCACGGTCCTTTGCGCCTGTGGCCCAGGTGAAGGTCTTCGCATTATCCAGTTGCAGGCGTAGCAGATCAGTGAAGCACCGCACCAGGTTGTAGGCATGCAGCAAAGCGGCTGCAGTAAAAGCCGTGACAGCATAGTTGTCCACAAAACTGTAGGCCCGCACAGACGGCGCGAAAGCTTGCAAGTAAGCGTGATACGCCCAGTCCGCAAAGACCATCGCAACTGGACTAAGGGGGCATCCCTCAGGAAATCCCGAAGTAGACAGCACCGCACAGCTCACCTGATTGCGGATCAAGAATCGACGCTCATTTTGCCCCAAAAACGAACCCCACGGCTCCAGAAGCCTGCGAGGGACACCCAGCTGAGAGGCCAGGCTCAAAAGAGGCAGGCGAGGTAAACTGTTAAAGGCCTTGACCAAGTCTGTGGACAACCCCAGGAGCTGCGTGCCACCTAGAACACTGAGTTCGACTTCAAGTTGTATGCTGTACCACAGGGCTGTGGCCTCTCGGCCTGGCACAAAACCAAACAAGCCTTCAGGGGCAATGTCACGAAGAGCCGCAAGGACCTGGCGTGCCCGAATACCTGCCCAAGTCCTGTAGACTATCGAGAAGAGGCAGATCGGTCGGTACCCGTCGGCATCAAGCTTGCCATTCCCTTTACAAAGGAGGCAAACGAATCCAGTGACAAGCTGTTTGGGCCAAGGTCGGCCGTCACACTCCAGAGTGCGCAGGAAAGTCAACAGCTCAGAGGTGCGGGCAGGCGGCAAATGCAAAAGATCGGCCCGAGCCCAGCCATCTGGTCCCCTGGCGGCGCGAGGACGGAAACGCCTGAGAGCCTTATTCCACGTGCGCACATCAATGGCAGATCAAAGCGAAAATGTGGCATAAAGGCGATTGCGAAGTCCAGAAATCGCTGCCAATCAGCTGGCGTGGCATCGCCATGTTGCTGCCAACGAGGTGCCCAAAGGGCTACGAATTCATCATGGATGTCAGCCACTGAGGAGAGCACCTGTACCTGCTCAAGTTCGTGGCAGGACGAAGAAGGTGGGCATGCAAGGGTGCACACATCAGCATCAACGGTTTGGACCTCAACAGCAGAGCCGTCCAAAGTCCAGGTAGAAATTCCCCGCAAATTCGGCGGGTGCTCCAGGTGGAGCTGTGCACCCTGAGGGTCGGCGGCCAAAATGGCAAACTCCCGACGAAGTTGGAGCGTATCAACCTGCTCTGGGGCAGGATCGCGCAGCTCCTGATAAATTTGGGCAAGAGACTTATCATACTTGGCATCAAGAAGCTTGGCCCGGTTGCGAAGGTGCCAAGACTCGAGTTGACGAAAGTTGCTCCGAAAATCCTCATGAAGCAAACGCGCCGTGTAGGCATCAGGAAGCGCCGGTGGCAGTTGTGCAGGGCTGCCAACCAGACGGGTGGGCCGCGTAGACCACCAAGCAGCAAAGCCACCCCGGAAACCGCGGGCGCAACAGATAGAGCGCCACAGCCCCAAACGGTACTCAATAGCAGAAGGAGTCTGGCTGGAAGCTTTGGTGGCGTGTACCAACGATTGCAGCCTACGCAGCTGTCGGAACCACCTACGCACTTCGGCCCCAAGGCAGTCGTGGCGAAGAGAGTCTTCACCCGGTCGGCTGGCTCGCAACGGGCGGGCCTGCGGCACTGAGCGCTGAGGTGCAGTCCGGGCGCCTCGGCCAAAACAATTGGAGGGCAATCTCCCGCCGGGGAAGGACGACAGATGACCGTCCAGGCTGTGCTCAATGGCGCGAGAGAAAGAAGCAAACCAACGGGATGGATCTTGAGTCGGCGGGATAGGCTGATGACCCGCATGCAAATGCCAGGCATCTACGTCAATGTCAGCCCAAGGCAACTCGGAAGGGAGAGGCCAGGAATTCTCCACAACGGCGTGGCTCGGTAGGGAAAACCCGGCGATTACTGTGGAATGCTCTTGAAAGACATCAGCAACACGCACTTGAATGCAGTATGAAGCGGCCTCCGGCGAAAGCCAGAGCAGGTCCCGTTGCGTGGCATTTTTGCAAGTGGGCAGCGGCGCCGTGCCCCAGAGGAATTGCGCGAGGTCTTGCGCCTCGACCCAGCCATTGGCTTTCCAGATTTGGCACTGGTGCAGGTCGGCATGGTTGTGATTGAAGTCTCCACAAATGATACGAAAGCCCCTCGAGCCGAGCACGACTTCGCGTGTCAGCGTGCACAAAAGAGTGTCAGTGCGTGGCAAGGCATCCGGCCACGTTGGGCCCTTGGGGTACCCGTAAACCGTGGCGATAGTGATGGGCAGAGCCTCAAAGAAGTGCTGACAGAGCATGACCCGTCCGGTTTCAAAAAGCCCTGGCGGCCAATCAACATTGAGAGAGCAACAGGGTAGATCCCCAACCTGAAGCACTCCGGTCCAAGAACCGGCCCAATTGCTGTTGACTCGAAGAGCAGCTGGAGCACCGGAGGTCACACGGGCGTGGCGCCCTGAAGATTTGGCACAGGCCTGAAACTGACGCCGGGAGCCCGGGAGGGTGGCAGCAGAAAGCTGTGTTTCAGCAAAGCAATACACTCCGAAACCCCAATCAGAGTAGAAAGGCTCCTTGGAACGAAGACCAGAAGGATTGCTGGTACTAACGCTGAAGTTTGCGGCAGGACCCGGATGGTCCGCTTCACCAAAACGCTGGACAACAGTCAAAAAGCGGTTGGTCACCATTGCCTCCGAATCACGCGGAACCCGAAGCGTGTGTTCAGCCCCCCCGCTCAGCAGTCGTGAGACCTTGCAGCAAACGGAAGCACACGTCGAACACGTGGTGCTTCGGTGGCTGCGGCCTGTACCCAGTGGCCCGAGCCGCCGGACGAGGACCAGCGCCACATCATGCTGGAGCCAGCTGCCGAGGGAGGATGGCCGTGGAATGAGTCTGCACCGCCGAAGCTGCCCCGACCGCCGCCTGAAACCACGGTGTGCGTCGTGACCACGGTCTTTCCACCGCCCCCGGCGCCGGCATAGACCTGCTCGTGGCACCACGTCTTCTTCGGCGCCGACCATCCCGTGCCCCAATTACGCAAACCGGCGTGGCAGTCATAGGGCTTGCTCACGACCGAACCGCCGATAGCAGATATGGCCTGGAGGCTTTGCAAAGATTGGTAAGGGTGCTCCTCCGGTGCACGGGGAACAGAGACAACGATCGTCACTGGCTTTTCCGATAGCCTTGCCGGCGGGGGCGCCGCAGCTGGCACCGAGGCCATACTGGCCAAAGGCTGGGTAGACCGGAAGTTGTCGCAGTTGAAATCAGGACCAGGAAACATGTCTCCTTCTTCGCCATCTCCATCCGCGGAAACAGGCACGAGCATGCGCCGCGATGGAGACGTCGGCAGCGAGGACTGCGACACGCTCGGGTGATTCAGGCCGTGCAGCCTGGCATTCTCGAAAAGGGCCTCGTCGAGGCGCCGCTGCAGATAGGACAGCGTCTCCCGAAGCTGAAAAATGTGACGCTGAGACTCCTCATTGCGCGCTTCAGCCTCCCGCAGCCTGGCGATCAGCGCCTCCCGATCGGCCATTGTGGAATCCTGGAGGGAAACGCCGTTGCTCGCTGGCTTCGCCTTTGAGCTGGGTCGGTGAAGCCTCCGGCCTGCTGGGTCGCGTGCCGTAGGGACCAGTCAGCCAAATGCAAACTCTGAGCCAAAGGCGCTTGAGCCAAAATGGCTACCCTATAAACCCTAAACACCTAAACACCTAAACCTCCAAACCCTTAAGAATCCCTAGACCTCTAAACCCTACACCCCTAAACCCTAAAAACTCTAAACCTCTAAACCCCAAACCTCTAAACCCTAAACCCCTAAACCACCAACTTTAGCCCCCTTCCCCGGCGTACGCGCGGCGGGTGAGCGCCGTGGCGGCCCGGCTGGGCAGCAGGGACTCCAAAGCCCATGCCTCACTTGAAGGGTCGGGGACCCAAAGTCAGAATATTGGGATTAGGGTTTAGGGACCCCTAAATTAAGGAGGTTGGGGTGTTAGGTTTTTGGGGTTTAGGGATCTATGGGGTTCTACTTGAAGGGTCGGGGACTTACCCAGAAATAATTAGGGAATACCTACGGTTCCTTTACGGGATCTATAGGGCTCCTTTAAGGGGTCTACAAGGGCTCTATAGGGTTCCTTGAAGGGCCGGGGACCCAACGACCTCAATACCCCTTGATTAAGGAATGTGGCTTAAAATATCTAGGGCTTCGGTTTAGGGTTTAGGGTTTAGGGCTTCATACTATCACTTAAGCTATACTTCCAGGGTCGGGGACTTACCCAGAAACTCCAATATCCCTGCATCAGAGAATATTTCTTCAACTTATAATAGGATCCCTAATGCAATTTAAGGAATATTCCTTAATTACGGGATATTGGAGTCTCTGGGTAGTAAGTAGAGTTATCAGCGCCCTAAAAGGGATTCTTATGGGGGATAGGATACCGATAAGTCTATAAAAGTAACTGCCCAACAAGTCCTCCAAGTAGAGTTGCACCAGAGAGAGTGCTTTGAGGGACGCGCCATAAACAACCGAACCCGATGTTTTCTTGCCCTTCTTTAGGGGTTTTGGGTTTTAGCTCAGAGCGTCTGGTTTAGGTTTCGAAGTTTCCCCCAGGGGCCAAAGGACCCAAGACTTCCGTACTTGGGTTTCGGACAGGAGCTGCGTAGGTTAGTAGCTGGGGGAGTCTATGGCTATTAGGTAATAACTTGCACCCTCAGGGTTCTGGCGTAGAGGTTCAGGGTTGCAGTCGTGCCATCCCCCAGAGACTCCAATATCCCTTAATTAAGGAATATTCCTTCAATCATATTAGGGATCCGATTATAATTTAAGGTATATGCCTTAATTAAGGGATATTGGAGGCTCTGGGAAGCCCCTAATCTCAAAGTAGACCCTAAACCCTAAACCCTTATAGTACCCCTAGAGATCCCTTTAAGGAACCCTACTTACTGAGTCTCTGGGCCATGCAAATCCTATCAGGTGCGTCCTCAGCTCGGGGCCTCTGCCAACGCCAAAGGCGCACCCAACTCACCCGCCAAGCCTAGGGGGTTTAGGGTTTAGGGTAGGCCACCGCAGTTTCACAGGAGGCTGGGCATTATTCAGGAACTTATCATGTAAACAGTGTTGCCGCAGTGTTGCCGGCTCGAATTAATCTATTCCCAGACTTGTCATTTTTTGTGGAAAGCCTTGCATTACACTCATCATCATCTTA